TTGGTGGATCGATTTATTGGATATTCACTAGTCGTAACTACAATTAATTATAACCCTTAACGGATTACTGTAATTATAACACATGTAAAGTCATACTAAGTCTTCTCAGGTTGACTTCCAGTTCTTCAACTAGGAACTTTCCGTGGTTATGACTTATCGGCAATTGACTCTCATATGTTTCGGTTCAAAGTCAAGTCAAAGTCACATTGCCACTGTCGGTCGGTCGGTCGGTCAGTCCGTCAGTCAGTCAGTAAGTCTTGGCGTCGAGCCCCATTACTACTTCGGTTATTCTGGGGATCTCGTTATGAAGCCGTGGCACGGACCCCAGAGAAAATACCTATTCTACCGTAAGAACCGTTGCGTAACCTACGAATTGGTACTTCATACAGCCCTCCCATCAGTCTGTGTGTCTGCATGTCTATCCCTCCTATCGTTGCTAGGCAAAGACTAGGTAAAGTGTATCCCTCTTTTCGTTGCTATGTAACGGCTCAGCAAACACATTCCCGAGGCAAATAATACACGCAACAATAAAAGAACTGTTGGACGCGTGTCTGTGTATCCCATTTTCGTGACCAGGTAACAACTCGGTAAAAAGGTTCCCGCGGCAACAAAAAATTTTGGAGACGTTTTTATGCGGTCCTTGTCGTGTCAAAAGAAATAGGCGATTACTTCTCCCCATGACTTTCCTTTGCTCGGCTGTCCCACTCGTAGAGGAAACAACAGATACGAACCCAGCTTTCAAGCAACCACACATACGCCTAGAATACGTATCATACCAGAGGAGTTTCACAAAATGGTATATATTAACTGTTGCATGATTCATTGTAATGAATGGCATGCACTGTTGAAAATGAAGGATATTCACTTCATTGTGGAGCAACAAGCTTCCAAAATCAGCTTCCAGGGATTGACAAATAGGCATCATTCGTCTTCGATCGTACCGCTAGCACCATGAGTTTCCACATTACGAGGCTCAGTCAAAAAGTTCCCGAATGGTGGTACAGCACTCTAAGGGTAGGACATACGGCAACGCTTACCTAATTACCTTCACAGTGGGACCCTTGCCCGCACACACACTTGCTCCATCGATCCTCCCATTGTTGGAAGCAGTGGTGGAAGGCTTCTTTTGGAATCTTCCGGAAGTCAGCCGTCGCATTCGATTTGATGTCCTCCATGGTTGGGAAACGTGTGCCCTTGAGGCCCATTTTCGGAGTAGGGAACAGCCAAAAGTCACTCGGAGCGAGATCCGGAGAGTACGGTGGTTCAGTGATGACAGGAATGTTTTTCTCGGCGAGGAATTACGGCACAACAAGCGATGTGTGGCTCGGTGCGTTATCGTGATGCAGAAACCGCTGTCCCTGCCACCTGTCGCGCCACTTCCTCAGAACCGCATCGCGCAACCTCTGCAAAACTTGCACGTAGAAGTGGCCAGTAACAGTACCAACTTCTTGCTTCAACTCCGCGATGGTCATTCTTCGATCATATCGAATCAGTTGTCGCAATTTTCCAATCATTTCTTCAGTTCTGGGTGTCGAAGGTCTCCCGCCGCGCTGGTCATCCCCTAACGTCTCCTGCCCATTCTTAAACTGGGAGAACCAGTTGTAAACTGCGGATTTCTTTAGTGCAGTATCACCGTAAACTTGCTGCAGGGCCAATAGCCTCTCTGAAGCAGTTTTTCCCAATTTGTACATGAACTTGATGTTCATACGCTGTTCGAACTGCGACATTGCGCCGAATGACGAACACTCACGTCTAATTCAAACGGAACAGTAACGACACTGCACACTGAAACCTGTCCAGACCTGTTGCGCCTGCGAGCAGACATGCTGAGCTTCCCACCACAACAGTGGGTGCGCTATCTTATTGCTCGTTCTCCATCTGCAGGGGAATTCCGGGAACTTTTTGACTGACCTACGTACAGTAGAGTACATAGCCTTCTCGAGAGAAAAATAAAATATTGGCATTTGAGTAACAAAGATGTCCTGGTGCCTTTGTTTTAAAGATTCAACCCTTTCAACCTCGAAGCCGAAAGCCATGAATGATTTTTTGATAAATTCAGATCACGGGCAGATCACTCAGGTCTGCGTGAGATTTATTTTATTGCTAGTGGGGTGGGACTAAGTCTCTTGTATTGCGGCCACTTCTGGACTATTGTACCAGCCCCAGATGATAGGTGAGGGTGATTGTGGATCAACTGGTGGAATGAAGATTGGCACGGGAAACCGAAGTACTCGGAGAAAACCTGCCCCAGCGCCACTATGTCCACCACAAATTCCACTTGACCAGACCCGGGATCGAACCCGGGCGGCCGCGGTGGGAAGCCAGCGACTAACCGCTTGAGCTATGGCGCGGCCCTGCGTGAGATGTTACATGAGGATCTACTGATGAATAAGACTGTTCAAACAATGAATCAATATCACACTGATTTCCCACCAGAAAACCACGCTGGGCTTCAGCATTACGTTTTACTTTGCTTTGATCTTCATCATCTACACTTCAACTTTCCTGCAGATCCGGCCTGTCAGAAAACTTAAACTAGGAATGCAACACACATGAGGCACCCAAGTCTTGCCTGAATTCTTCAGCTTACAAACAAAATACGGTTCGTACGATAACAGGGAAATTTCGTCTTTCAGACAAAAAAAAAACAGCTGCCCGAACACACAACAGGCACTGCTTGAATAACCTCTACTTACACAGGGCAACACAACACAGAAAAAATGGGGATATACATCCATGCCTCGAGCGGCTTAGAACCGGGAATCCCAGCTTTCCATCAGTACAAGGTCGTATGGGCTTTAATCAGGCCGGCCACTGTGATGGGCATATTTCATCCTTCGATATAGATACTTGCTTAAAGAACTCTTTGTTATGCAGATTAACGTGATACTGTTGTTGAGAGACTGTGGGAGTGGTTAAACACAAACTAAATGCATATCAGAAGAGTCAGAATGCTTCTAAACCAGACACCCCATTCAAATTCGTCTATCTGCATGTGCTGCAAGACAGGGAAAGGCTCCTCTAGGCATTAAACTTGCAACGTGCGGTCCTCTGCCATGTAAAGCGTGTAGTTTGATGAATTCCTACCGCCGTTTCGGAGGATCCTGTTGCCTCTGTCCGCAGCTTGATGTCGAAGCATACATAACCCATTTGTTTCAATTATGACGTCGTAGTCAAGTGCAACACGAGTACAAGGCACTTAACTCGCGGCATGGGTGTACTGCCAACCATAGCAGGAAGCCAACCGGACCAAGTGACTTCAGGCAGTAAACCAGTCCACAGTAACTTTATTACTTAACAAGCACCTATATATTCTGGGCTACACAGTCTCATACTATCGGTGAAGGGATGCTCACAGTACATCAGACACAATACGGTCTGTTAATAAACAGGTCGAGCCAAGAATGGAACTGATATGAAAATAACAACAGGATTAAATGCAATAAAAATAGGGGGGAGGAAAACTTGAGCAAAAATGTGGACAGAAACTGTACCAGAGATACTGTACATATAAAAACAAAGAAGGGACAGAATTCTAAACAACAGTAAACACGTGACCGATAAATTAAATAAAGTATAAAGTATTATACACAGAAAAGAGAAAGGAGTACAAATTAAAGGGACGTAAAGCAGAGGGGGGGAAAAGGGAAAAGGAAAGAAAAGGAGGAAACTGAAAGATAAAGAAATAAGAATATCAACAGAAAAAGAAAGAAATAAGAGTGATCACATTTAGCGAAGAAAAAATTGTGCGTGCACACAAGCATAAGGAAGAGAAAGAAACAGAGATGGCTAAGGAAAACAGAAAATGGGGAACAGCATATGGATATGGATAAAAAATATGGATAAAAAATGAAGAAAAGGAAGTCGAAATAGGGGAACAGGATGCAAGACTGGCCTCTCAATACAAATTCCAGCATAACAAAGAAAATACTGACTTTGCAGTCATGATGTATTGCCGAATACACTGAACACTCTGACGAACGACAGTACAGCGGTGATGGTGCTTGCTGTCGAGCATGGCAGAACATTACTGGGACACATGACTAAATACTGAAATTACGTGCGCGCCTTACTTTAGCGGGCGGAGTGGTCATATTCCGCAGTCACCCTATTCACGACTGGTCGGAGCGTCTCCCTCCGCTCACAGCCCTCGTCGACACTGCTACTTAGGAGTATGAACATAATTCCATATGCTCAGAATTTGCTCAATGTATTAATGCCTATATTCACAGCCTGGCAGAAGGCTGCAATGTTACTATCACGGGAAATGCACAGCAGCAACGCTCCTCTTTCTCTTGCAGACATCCACCAAGAGACAGCATCCTATTACTCTGGGCAAGGCAGCAAAAGCAAGCGCAGTAAACCGCTATATAAGATTTAAAGTTTTCACGGCGGTGACTATGAAGAATGCCGTATTCTGGGAGTAGATACTGTGTAAAACGACGTTAAGGAGGGATATACCGCCTCCATCTTCAGAGTAGAAAAATCCGCGAGCGACCAACTAGCGTGAAAACTGCAGCCACCTGCTCACGCTGGTTCCTTGCTCGCAGATTTTTCTACTCTGAAGATGGATGCGATACGTTACTCCGAAATGTCGGTTTACACAAGATTTACAGGGCACCACATATCAGAAGACGGCATTCTCCTTTAAACCGATATACTTAAAATATAATAGCTTTCCCCGTGCTCTCCTGGTAGAAGAAGAAATGTTATGGGGAAAAAATAAAATAAAACAGGAAAGAACTAAACAAGGGCAGAAAAGTCAACGAAAGGAGGAGAGCAAGAGAGCATATTGTTTAGAGAGGATGCGACATTACTGGCATGAAACAGGCAAACGGCTTGTTCGAAGCCTGGTAATTATCTAAGATTTCAGTAAAATCAATGAACTTGGAACCCGAGGGCGCAGAAGTATAAGCATGCCGGCCAATGGGGATTAAATAAGACAAAATCGATTGGACAGCATCATGAAACAATAATTATTTTAAAGGATCAATACTCACCATGCCATTATCCATGGTGCCATAGGGCGACTGGAAGCCTGCCTTGTCTGAAACAAACAAAAATCAAACCACATTATAACACTGCTTATCAGGCAGCTCGATTAAATCCTCAGGGATACTGCAGGGTTAGCGCACCAGTGGGCATCCACCCGGTCCAATTTATTGACTTCTCACAAAATTAACCAGTTCCACGGTACTGGGTCTTTCAGAATTAGTAGCTTTTTATTGCTAGTGGGGTGGGACTGAGTCCCTTGTGAACCGTGCAACGGTTCTTCTCCGTGAAGTTCCTTGGAGTCCCCCCCCCCGAAACACCAGGATGCGAGCCGTTCCTCTTTTTCCACTTCAAGACTTAGCTGACGTCAGGTCAGCTGACCTTGTCTCCCCCCTCCTGGAAGCAATGCGAGGTTTCCTGGTTAAGCAGAACGAATGCATCGCTCTCTCTCCCCGATACCTCTAGCCAGGTAAATTCGCTGCGTCTAAATTCTGTGTTTAGGTTGATTGAGCTTGTGAAATTCTGTTTCGGCCCGTGCAGTATCTGAAGGGGGAAGAGTGCTCTCGCGACGTCATGAAGGTTGTATCAAATCGCGAGGTTAATCTTGTGTTTGTAATTTGGAAACGCCAGTAAGTGACTTACTGTTGTATNGTCACCTGTATGCCTTGTTATCAATATACACATTTATTTATATGTTAGAAACGACTGTAGTATTTGTGTATACTTGGGTTGTGTGTGTTCCCTACTAGTTCAGACTAGCAGATCCGTCCAGCTTGGCCCATAGTGCCGACAGTGGTTTTCCTCTCCCGAGATCCCCTACTCGACCTTGGGGAGGCATAGTGCATCACGTACAAGCAAGTCGTCTTATGAGCCTGTCCCTTGCCCGCTTTGAATAGGAGTCCATGGGTTTAAGTGGGTAGGAGAACTGGGTTCCCTTCTACATGGGAAGGGAAACGGCTCAAAGTGGTAGCAGAGCGTTGTTCTCGACCCACATCGGCAAGGGGCAGCGGCTCACTTGTACTGCGGCCACTTCTGGCCTATTGTACCAGCCACAGATGACAGGTGAGGGTGATTGTGGAGCAATTGGTGGAATGAAGATTGACAGGGGAAATCGAAGTACTCGGAGAAAACCTGCCCCAGAGCCATTTTTCCACCACAAATCCCACTTGACCAGACCCGGGATCGATCCCGGGCCGCCGCGGTAGGAAGCCAGCGACTAGCCGCTTGAGCTATGGCGCTGCAAGAAATTACTAAGCACAAAAAGAAATTCAGTGCTTTCATGGCATTCGAAGGTCAAACCATACTCGCAAACCGCAGTCACTGGACCTAGTCCTCCCATTTACGCTCAGGTAGTCTTCCCCAACAAGTTCTTCGATCAAAATAGTATCAATACAAAATTATTCTTCGATCAAGCCTGCGTCTGCATTTCGCACTTGCCTCAAGCATGCTATATCCCTGAAACATACAACCCTTCTTAATTCTGTAATCCTAGCAATATTAGACGAAAACTGTAAATTACAAAGCTCCTCCTTAGACAATCTGTTCAACTTTCTTGTTACAGTTTCCTCAGCAGATACAAAAACTCTCGCCGGGACTTCCTTCCGAAACAACGCCAAACATCCTGAGGATTAAAACAGGTAGTACATGTGCTATATATTTAAATAAAGTAGTGATTTGGCTCAAAAGAGTGACACACTTCACTGCAGATGTGAATATGAATAACGCTCAGCAAAGTTAACAACGTTGCAATGACCATCGGCCCGTGATGGCGCCAGTGAGACGACACCAATCGCAGAAGCTAATGGAGAAAAGAGAACTTTCCAGTCGAGGAATAGATGTCACTAATGCAACCTCAAGCTTATCATTGTTTGCGTGAAGTCCCGGGCACGAATCTAGGCTGAAGATTTTCGTGGTCTTCCTCTCCTGAAACATTTGCTAGAATAATGCCCTAAAACAGATCACGGTAATGCTCTTCACATACGACGCCGTATACCCCAGGAAGATGGAAAACCGTCATTAAGTAAACCAAGACTAAATTTTACATGTCTTGTGCGAGCCAATTGATTAGAGGGTAATAAAACCGGTGCACAGCCGTCAGAACTGTGGCAGGTGAAGATGAGATGCTAATAACATGAAAGCCATTCCATCATCACTGCGAATTTTACAATACCTCACTGCATTGTAATCTTAAGCACGAATTCTTACTGTTCAGCTTAACTGTTACCTGTAATACAGGTTGACGTTAACTTGACGGCACACCCCAAGAGGCAGATGCAGATACAACTGGTACGAACAGCAGTACAGACAAGATACGGCGGAAAGTGCACTACTGTTTCAGCGCTTCTTCACACACGTGCATTTCCCGTCATCTTCACGACCATTTGATTCTCGTTTCTTTCGTCTCATTTACCTTCTGCTAACACTTGTGGCAGGAACTGGTTCTAAAATGTGTACAGGAAGCAACATATAATGTACAATACGGATACGTATCTATACGTTGCACTTCATTAAACATTTCAAACCTAATTCATCAGGAATTATCTATCTATATTGTGGTGTACTGGCTCTATGCAGGCACTGTTGAGCCACAGAGGCCTCGGGGCACGCGCGCAACGTGAGAGTTGCGGATTGTATCGGCGCGTTGCTAAGCGACAACTCTGTGAACATTTGAAGTGCACAACAGGAAGTGCGAGTGACGTCACATACCACACTCATCCCGTAACTACATAAACAGTGGTAGCTACCACGTAACTGTTTTCTGTATTGTCAGTGCGTTACTGTTGCGTAATGTCGTGTTTACCGATTGCCTAGCAATAGTCTCTGCACGGCCTCGCCTGTTGCGTGACGTCACAACCTAACGGGTAGGGGTGTTTATGTAGTTACGGGATAAGTGAGGTATGTGACGTCACTCGCACCTCCTGTTGTGCAATTCAAGCGTTCAGAGTTGTCGCCTAGCAACGCGCCGATACAATCCGCAACTCTCACGTTGCGCGCGTGCCCCGAGACCTTTGTGGCTCAACAGTTCCTGCATAGAGTCAATACGCCACAATACTATTTCTGTTGCATATGGCATCCGTGAAACGCTTAGTTTCACTTCAGTTTCTTAATTCTTGAAGGTCGGCAGACTCCTTGGATGGGGGATCAGCTCGTCGGAAGACCGCTACCTGCACACAGTACAAAACACAAATACAGAATACACGCGAACAACCATGCCTGGAGCAGGATTCGAACCCATGATATCGGTGTTCGAGCGAAGACATTTTCATGCTTTAGACCGCGCGGCAACTGCGATCGGCTGTCAGTGTACGTTTACTATCCGCCAAGAACTGTAGGGAGTTCATATCAAGTTCATTTTGAATAAGAACGTGTGAGACAAGAAAGGCTTAATTTTGCTTGGGAAATCTCCCGGAAGATCGTGACTTGAGACGGGAGTAAATTAATAAAAGTGTACCTTTAGGATTTTATTACGATGACAAGGCTTATTCGCGATACGTTCCCGATATTGTACATCTTTCCGAGATGCCGACATCTGATACACGCAACTATACCCTAATGAAGGTATATGAAGAGCAGTAGGTATTTCGATTAAATGTAAGCAATCAAACCTTGAAACAATCTTAAATTCAGTACAATAAAACGGAACGGCATTCTGCACGGTGACAGAAATCATTTGGAACAAACTTTAACTTTAATTACTTTCATATTTATAACCATGTTTTAAGCGGAGTTGAAAATTTTCTTTTTGGAGACATTATACGCTTAATTACATCAAATCGATGCACAATTCGACAAATTATCAATTTGGTTCGAACGTGTCGTTTGGAAACATCTCCACTCATGCATTCCTGATGGCAAGTCAATGTGCAGTTTCCTAAAACGATACTGAATAAAACATTGTCAAACAAGGTATGTTTGTAACATTTTAAGACCCCTAAACTGTCAACTTGTTCATTCCACTTTTACATCACAATTGATGCACTATACGTATAAGCCCAGAATAGTGCAAATGAGCACTCCTCTTCAAGTTAAAGTACACCATAACAATTTGCTGAATGTATTAGTACAGACTGCAAATAAAATGGGACTATATAAAAAAAATATTTATATAGATAAGCCTAGGGGCACTGGCGTCGAATGGATGTTTGGGGGGGAGGGGGCAGGATTGTCTGCGAGGGAGAACCCAGAGAATTTGCTTACACTTACTTGCAGGCGCTTTAAGGGCACTTTTACGGATTACCTTAGAACTGAAGGCCGGAGCCACCATAAACTGTGATCGAGATCACCCGGTCTCAATACTTCGGGTACATCTATTTCATTTTGGGAGGGTGAGTTGCCTGGATTTACCCTTCCCCCTTGCCGACGCCCATGTATACAAGCTACATACAACGATGGTGGCACCATTCAGAACAGTGTTACCACAACGCAAATTAAACTTCCTTTAACATAACGAAAGAACGCACAATGTCTGATAGTAAATATTGGTTCCGCCGTCAACCAAAAATACTGCAATTAATAATCTAATATAAAACCTGTAATCACTTAGTCATAAAGTGCACGGCTGTTTGGAAATGGCAGTGCCTAATTTGAAGACACTAAGGAAAACGACGAAATGAGAATATTCACAAGAGTCCAGTTCCTCACACAGCACTCGCACACCATGACTCCCGAATCCAAATGTTCTCTCCAGTTCAGTAGTTCCCTGACGCGGAGAAACGCCCTACTAATCTGTATATCAGTCGCCAAGTTAGTTTGATTGGTGCCTTATTTGGAGTGTCCGTCAGTATCGAGTTCCCACGTTTCAGAAAACAGGCACGGTAATTATGAGCGGGCCCTTTCACCCCCCCGGCAAGACACCTGCCTGTTCACAGTGCTTCGTTTCCTGGCTTTCTGAACTTTTACGCCATGAGTGCATCACAGTCGGATGCAAATTTTACCAAAATAATTTACACAACTATATATGTGTTGCGGCCGGTCACGGTAGCCGAGCGGTCTAAGGCATGCACTGTCTTCGCTCGCTTGGAAACCGGGATCGTGAGTTCGAATCACACTCAAGGC